TCGTCGCGAGGAGTGCGTTGGCAAGATCGGAGTCGATGCGCGGTGGAGCGGCGGAGCGCGAGCGCATGTGGCCCGTGGGCAAAGTATCCCTGGGGCCGAGGTTTGCTATACATCGTTTTGTAAGCGCCGCAGGAAGCAATATCGCCGAGGGTGGCTTACCATCCTCGAATGCGGGCGAGCTGCTCGTGGTATGGGGTTTCTGCGCGCGTCCCCTCCTAGCGGGTGTAGGCCCTCCGGTGTCAAAACTGAAGTTCCAGTCTATGCCACTCTTCCGCCTTGGCCCAGATGCACTCCATGCAAACTCTCTGTCGAGAGTTGCGCTCGCGGACCGTGCCTTGACGCCATATGGCCTCTCCCAATCAACACCCTCGCTCGCCCTCCTTTCTATCAGGAAACTGTCGTGTCCCCATCTACCATAAGGATCATCTCCCTCACTCCGTCCAGACTCCAGCCTCTTGAACTTGCGCTCTATTTGAAGACTCTCGCCATATGCCGCCAGTCGTGCACTGAGGGGAATCTCGCCCTCATCATCTTCTATGACGGAGCGTTGGGTCAATTGCACGAGCGCCTCCGCTTCCGCGTGTGTAGAAATAGCGCTGATATCAAGCGAGAGGCGGCTACGCCACTTGGCTAGGCTGCCCTTTCTTGTCCTGTCCTCCGGTTGGCGCTCTTTAAACGTGTCTCTGGCTTCAGCGTCGAGATCACCGAATTCGTCCCCTTCATCCATGTCGCCGGGACTGACAACGCGTGGTGGGGGGAGAAGAGACGTCGCGGGGCCAGGCGTCGGCACGCTGAAGGTGGTACTCTGCGAATCGCCACGTATGCGCGGGGGCATCTCGACGGGGGGCTCGTTGATGCTGAAAGGAAAGTCTAGAGGGGATGGGAGTGACTGCACAGAAAACCTGCGATGCCCGGCTATAAGAGACGGGATGGGGTTGCCGTACTCTTCCTCGTCGTCATCGTCATCATCGTCTTCGGGTTCTGCGTCCGCATCCGCGTCTTCACCTTCTGCCTTCACCTCACCCTCCGTGCTCGGGCTCGACGCGTTCCTTGTGCCGTCGGCGCCATCTTCATCAAACCGAAGAGATCTATGTCCGCCTCCGGCCGAGGACGACGAAGATCTCGCGTGATCTCGCAAGATCCCGGGTCTTGCCGGCTCCGCCTCGAGGTCTTCGGTACTCTGTTTCCGAAAGATATGCAGCAGGGAGTACTTTGAAGTGAGCCGGCGCGACGCGCCGGTGCCTGCGGACCGTGGTCGGTGTGAACTCGTGGACGAAGGTAGCGCATTGTGGGGGAGTGACGGCCGACGAGGGGGCAAGTCGCCCACCTCGAAAGGGGAATCGGGAACAGGTGAGGGCGACGAAGATCCGCCTTTGAATAACATGTCGACAGAACGCTTCAAGCTGAGCCGCGGCTCAGTGTCGACGACGGGTTCTTCAGAGAAGAGTGTCTCACGCTCCACGAGATCGCGGTCCTTATCCGCGACCCACTGGGCGATAGCATCCGCGGTCGCGACCCAGCCGTTCGCACGCGCGAGCATCTCGGGAGTGACACCGTGCTTGTCGGCACGCGCAGGGCGGGCTCCGTGGCGAAGGAGGGTGAGGACGACGACGGTGTGACCATTCGCTGCAGCAAAGTGCAAGGGTGTCGAGCCTGAAGTGCCCACGATGGGTGCGCCTGTGGATTGAGTGCGGGGATTGGTGGAATAGCGGCGGGGAAGACGCGGTGCATTCACATCGGCACCGTTCTCGATCAGAAGTTTCACCACAAGATCGTTGCCGCCGGAGCACGCCGCGTGCAGTGGGAGTACGCCGTCGACGACAGAATTAATCGGTTGTCCATGAGAGAGGGCGTACTTGACGAGCCCGATGTTGCCCGTCGCTGCAGCGGAGTGCAGACCAAGGTGCGGAACTAAAAGAGAGACGATGAGTAAAGGTCCCGAAAAGTCCAGCGAAAAGATGGTTTGCATAGCGCAGATCGACTGGTCATCATCCAAGAGCAATCGCTCCAATCGACTTCTTCAGAACTCTAGGTGGGCCGAGCAGCGACTGGCGTGCGGAGAACAGTGGAAACGGATGAAGATACGCACAATCTGTGGTGACATTGTATTTGGCCTCTGCCTTGTGAGAGCGCGAATGGGCGGGCATGACGGTTCTATAAGCGAAGCATTACGGTCGAAAGGATGCTGAAAAGACGACAAGATCGCCGTCGACGTCTGGTCGACGTCGTGGTTGAGTCCGTCGAGATGATGGTTGCGGGCAAGGAGAAACCGGGCAAGTCGGCGTTTCCCCGCATTGTATTCCAGCGCTTACCACTTCTGATCCGTATTCATCCTTGTCCACCACGCTCATGAGTAGATTGCCTCCAGCCCTACTTTACTTGACCATATACAATCCGGACCTCAAGCCTACCGTCGAAATTGCAGACGACGACGAAGATGCCGAAGAGCAAGCTCACATCCTCTTCTACACGGCGCGCGAGCGCGCCGCCTCGCGAGACAGGATGCTCAGACAGATTGGTCTCGCCAAGGCTCTGATCAACTTCGCCGAGTGCGTATTTCACTGTCAGTGATCTCGGACACAACTGACATGGAGGCTTGGGCAGCATGTTCTCGCCGGACGACGTGTGCGATAACGTGCACTCCCAGTCGAGGCGTATGCTCATGGTTTCGCCGGAGCCTGGATTCTGGATCCATGCAGTGAGTATTGCGTATATCCTCTGCGTATGGCCGTACTGATTTGGCAGGGTGACTAGTGCCTCGAGCTTGCAAAGTCACCAAGCCAGGCTGTTCCGAGTCGAGGAAAGGGGAAACAGAGAGGGAAAGAGAAGGAGAAAGATAAAGCCAAGGATAATGAGGGGGACCCGGGATACGACTATCATGACGGCTCGGTTCATGACATGAGTGTGCGTGCCCAGCTTCTCCGAGGCTACGAGGAGTTCAAGGTCTGTCCAATGCGTTGCATTGTGCTTCGTGTTCACTCATCTTGTACACACTCCAGCTCCTTCATGGTTCCTTCGCGTCTATCCTTCGTGATCTCGGCCAGCAGGCTCTGGAACTACAACTAGAGCGTTTCTTTACCGTTTGGGCATGGAGATGGGACATAGAGCAGGACTCTGACTTCGGGCGCTACCTCGGTGTGTCGAGTCACTGTAACACGTCCGGTATCTTCTCATCCATAGAACAGGAATTCCCCTTCACCCTCTACACAAATCGATGACTCCGATTGTGGATAGATTCAACTCCCAGCTTTCAAGCGACGCCGCATCCTTCGTTCTTGTTCCTCCCCATATCATACCCTCCACCTCTTATATGGAGTCCATTGTCCCTCCGGAACTTCCGCTTCATCTTCTCTCCCGCATACCGCCACCTCGTCCAGCGCATACTACGGAGAGACCTCCACAAGACCTACCTCCTACAGCCGCACCGACGGACGTACCAAAGCCTACCGTGGACCGCTTTGCGAGCAGTATGGCAGTAACCAAAGATGCCATGGAAGCGACTGGAAATGCTTTCATTGCTATTGGAACGAGCATGGATGTGCGCAAGTGGGGGTGGCCGGGTTATCTCACCTTCGGGAAAGGAAATCGAAGGCCTGGTTCAATGTCTTCGACGGACGAAGACCAAACTGAGAAGGAACCTCCGGTCGAGGAGGGTGTCACAGGAAACGACTCGCAGCACTCCGCTGACCGTGTTGAAGGTGATATACGTGTACATGTGGACACGGAAAGCCTTCATGATGCTATGTCTTCCTCTGGTTTGAGCGTCGCGGGTCCACTTGATGCCGGCCGGGAGGATGCAACATCGCACTCCGTCCAGGGCACAGACGAAGATGCGCGTCCTACAGATGCGCATGAAGCCACCTTCAAGCCTAATGGCGACAACTCACATGAAACTGTCCCATCTCTCGACGTCGAGCTACCCACCGCTCCGTTTGCAAGTGATGATGACGAGCACGAGCGACCTCATGCATCTACGTCTACAGACCTTCCTGCACAGGAAGATACATATTCTACCTCGCCTACAGATACCACCCCCTCGATCATAGTATCTCCTCCCCGAGTATCTCCTTCTCCTTCACAACGGACACTTCCAGCACCCCTACCAGCTCCCACCTTCTCTTCGATACCCATACATCTAGCGCCTCCTAACGATCCTTCAGCCACAGTCCGCCGATGCCTTCTCTATCGCATAGTGAGTGTTTCTTTGTCAGCAGTTGACGGCTCTGACAATATCTCCTATCCTCCAGCAAGACCAATTGGCGGTTGCCTTCCTGGCACCAGAACAATCCAACCCTGACGGAGAGACGACTGCTTCATACGAGGCCGCGTCCGCTCTCCTCGCCAATCTCAGTGCCCTCATTGCGGAGGACCAGGCAAGCAGGAGGTAAATAGCATGTCTGATCTTCCCGCTGTGTCAATTGAATGTGACGCGGATGGCCAGTTCCGAGTTGCCGTTGTACTCTGCGACGAAGATCCTGCAGCCAAAGGACAAGTACATCTTCACCACCGGTCGCGGCCTGACGGCCTCCAGTCCGGAGTTCGTGTCACGATCTGAGCACCTGTATAATGGCCAACAGCTCATCAGGCATGTTTTCTTCGCATCAATCAACTTTTGGGTTTTCTCTCAAACCTTCTTCGATGTAGCAGCACCGATGCCCTCGAAGTCTTCTCGCGGACTCAAGGCCCTCAGCATTGGCATATTGCCCGACGCGAACAGACAGGCGCGGTGTACATGGAAGTGTCACGGAAGGAGACCAGCTTGACTGATGTGGATAACGAGTTGGCGGGGTTGGTGCGACGGCTTCGAGACGGTGAACAGAGATAATAGTGGCTACATATGGTCTCAGGCTCGTGGGAGAATTCAGAGAGTGCATGTATGTGAGACTGCGAGGACTATCGATAGAAGGTTTCATCCTGTGCAAAATCTGTCTACGAGGCTTCAGAACAGCAAGTCAGAACGTCAGTGCGTCAAAAGAAAAATGAAAAGAATGATAGACGTTTAGCAGCACCTCGTTTCGATCGAGGGACCTCAGGGTTACACTGGGAAGTATGGGCCCTGCGCGCTATACCAGCTGCGCCATGCTGCTGACGGAAGGTCCGCTGCCCAAGGATCACAATCGCTTAAGTAACTGAGAGCACGTGTCACAGTGGCGAGGATTAGTCAGCGGGTTCCGTCCGGTCTTGACACAACGAGCTGCGAACATCTTCCTCCGCAACCACCATGTCCTCCGCAGATACCGCCGAAGCTGCACTCAAGCTCGAAATAGCTCGTCTCACAGGTGCGACGAAATTCTCTTCCAGTTCTTCCCGTGTTTGACCTGCTCCATTGCAGGCGCCATCAATCGCCATCGATCAGGAGAGCCATCGCAAGTCAGGCCGAAGCCCTCGTACCCCGCTGCACCCCGCCAGTTCAAGAATACATATGTCAATCCTTCTTATAAGCCTCCTTCCAATAGCTACGTTCGCTCAGGGCTTACTTCCAAGACTGCGGCAGTAAGGCCTGTCCCTCCAGTACGTCCCACCCCTGGTCCGTCTCAGCCTCGCGATATCACCATCGGCGGGGTAACGTTTGAGACCTCACAACGCTCTCTCGTGCGCAAAGATTGTACGTGGACGTTTCTTGCAGTGCACTGTTTTCTGACACCTCTGGCTGTAGTGCCGAAGCCTCCTGCGTCCGTGAAGCCTGTCTCGGCAGGCTCTTTGCCGCGAGTGCAACCACAATTTATACGCAACAAGGCAGGCCATCCTAAGAATCGCGTATACAAGCCCAAAGGGCCCTCACGGGTCCGGAACATGACTCTTGACAACACTCGTCGACCTTACCAGTCTGTTCGGTCCCAAGATCGCAAAGCATATTTCCCTCTGACATTCTACATAGGACTCGCCGCATCGCAACTAAGAGGTCCGTCGACAAGCCTTGTCCGCGCTTCACTACAACAGGTGCGTTCTGCTTTTCACTTGCCCCAAACCTTGTGAAATTACAACTGGGTGCCTTCACCGTCTGCTTTGTCATCTTCAGGTGCTTGCAACCGTGGCCTCACATGTCCATATCAACACGACCCGAACAAGATAGCAATTTGCTGGCCTTTCTTGCATGGGACTTGCCCGCACACTGCCGACACCTGTGCGCTCTCGCACGAGTCGACGCCGAACCGCACGCCCCTCTGTGTCCACTTCGCCAACAATGGACGCTGTACGCGTGTCAACTGCCCATTCCCGCACGTCCACGTCGGTGCCCGCACAGGTGTATGTCGTGAATTCGCGGTGCTTGGCTACTGCGAGCGCGGGCTCGATTGCGATAAGCAGCACGTCCGCGAGTGCCCAGACTTTGCGGAGCGTGGAGACTGCCCGAACAAGAAGTGCAAGCTCCCACATGTCATCCGCGCCAACCGACGGCGCCAACCTGCCGCCTCTTCGGCTGCCCAGGCTCCGATTAAAGTTGATGACAAGACTGAGGCTACCGCCGAGTCGGTAGGCTCGACTCTTACTGACGGTTTGCAGACTTCTGCGCCCTCTGTGTCCGCTGAGGAGGCGCAGCTGGGCGATGAGTATATCTCTCTTACTTTCCATGAGAGCGAGAGCGAGGAGGAAGACAGCGACGAAGAGGAAGACGAGGGAGATGATGATGATGATGGCAAGAACGAGGAAGAGGGCGAAGGCCCCACCACTTCTGGAGATGACGATGATGCCTTGTAGCCTCATCTTGACTTCCGCTGTAACTGCGTTTATTGGCATGTACTTTTGATTGTATGTCAATACAGAGCGTTTGGAGATACCTCTGAATTTGTTAGCGTTTGACTCGTTGCCGCAAGATTTGCGAAAGTGATTTTTCCTAGGCCTGCATCCCGGTCTATACGCAAGAGGCGCAGGGCGTGCATCGCGCGGATGACGAAGTCACCACCTCACGGGCCATAAAGCCCTCCCCAAGCAACAACCACAACGGCAACAGAGCACTAGGGACTCCAGAGCATCAATGAAACGTGAAGTACCGCAGGCGGCCTTCTGACGATTCTTACGTGACGGACGTCTCTACCATACAAAATACGCATATTGAGTATTTGTGTCATAGCGGTTATTGGGCTCATGCGTAGGAGAACAACATAGGAAAAGAACAGAATGCAGGAACGTGTCGATACGGATTGAAACATTATGCCTCCGTGATCTCGCGCAACCGACGGACAGTACTGTGAAGCAGACAGACATCGCTCAGCACACGCACTAGCTCAAAATACAAGTAAGGGCTCACCTGCGCACAGTTGCAGCAGCCGTCGTCGAGACGGTCCATGCTCCCCCTGCGATCACCTTGCGGCATGCGTTGCACTTCCAGATGCCCACCGCCTGTCGCTTCACGGTGTCCTAGAAACGACACACAGAAAGGGTAAGCCATCGCCGAGTTGCAGACCCATTCGCGCGCTGAGGGACCAGATACTTGCCTTTCCGCAGAACGGGCAGGTGTACCGCGCATGTTGCGTGATCTCCATCTATTCGGAGGATAAGCTCACCGCACTGGACACACTAGACAAAGAAACGCACCTTTTTTACCTGCTTCCGCAGGGATGCACCGTAGCGCTACGCATCGACACGGCCATTAGCCCCTCCTCCAGTCACTGGAGAAAAACGCCTCACCGTGCCGTACTTCCCGGTCACACCAACCTTGCGTGTGCGTTTTGTCTATAGACGTAGGGACACTATCAACACCGGGTATGACATTGGGTGGTAGGAACGTACCATCGTGAAGCGTTGAGGATATGGATGAATCGGCGTGGGCGACTTGTGTCGATGGACGGGTTGGCGGCGGCGGACATTGCCGAAGAACTGTACAGCTGGCGTCAGCCACCTACCTGTGTTCTCACGGTCCTTATTAGGCGAAGCACGGGCGCCTTGCGCACGCCGTGCCGCCGGTCCGCCCAGAGTCTGCCACCGTCCTATCCCAGTCGTACTCGTTCCACGTTCAACTTGCATTCAACGCTCGTTCCCATGTTCAGGCGCTAAGCACCGTCACTCTTCATTGTGATACATATTCAACGAATCGCATACTGATCGTGTATACACATACTGCGTCCTTCGCCCGTCGTACACAATTCAACTCCCCCGTCCAAGCTGCCCCACGCCCCCGGACGCACAGGGACTGAGGGACGCGCCCGCTTTCCAGCACCATATAGCGATGCACTATCATATCCTATCTTATCCTATCTTATCCAGCCACATGCCATCGACATACTCCGGCGTCCGCGCAGCGCGCGCCTCTGCCTAGCGATCCAACGTCACAGCGAGACCAAACGACTTAACGATTTGTATGGTTCCGTGGCGAACGAGGGCCGAACAATCCCATCGGAGGCGGCGACGGTGCCAGAAGTGTGGTCGGAGGTGATGACGGAGGTGTGTATTCCACGGTGGGATCAGCTGGTGGCACGCAACACGCGTTAGCTCAAGTCTCGACTTCGTACACGAAAATCCACTGACACGTCCAGGCTGCCCACGAGGGAGTCGGCGAAACGACGTTACGCCGCCGCATGCCAGTGCTGAGCTCTGCCTGTATCGTATGCCATTGATCTGATCTGACGGGAGATGTCGGGACGGGAGATGTCTCTGTTAGCTCGAAATCTCCGGGATTTCTGATATGAATAGTCCGAATGCTCTGCATCGCTGGTAGGGACGTCATCATAAATGGTCGATATTCGTATCTGATAGACGCACCAACTAACAAAGCCTGGTGGATGACTCTGCAGCGCCCGTGAACGAGCGACGAACAGCGCACACAAACGCGCACGAAGCCAATGGAGAATCCTTGTGGAAAAGGCATTCAAGTACTGGCGGCTCTATGGCTTCCCAACCAATAGAGTCTAAGTAGTCTATTCAATTTTTTGCGTTGGGCATCACAGCGCACGAGACTTACAAAATTGTGCAGACGATACCCATGACCCAGTCGAGCGTGGTGGGGATAACAGTACTCCCACCTTGGTAGGACGCTATTGCTTTCGGTAGACCGAATGCTACGACAACGACGGTAAACAGAAGACGGTACCCTGTCAACTTTACCAACAAGGGTGGACGCTGAAAGCCCCTCCTATGGCGTACATGCGTTTGGTTCACCCACTGTGCTTCGGGATCATCAGAGTCTACGGACAGAGATGATTCAGATAGAGCGATTGCAAGGCTTGCACTGTTACGGTCGCCCATGAGTCCAAAAGAGTTGCGTGAGCTAACGGGATGTGAGGGGACAAGGTTGCTACTAGGACGACTAGGGCCATAGAATAGGACATGCACTGCAGCACTGCAGCCTGGCTATGCTCAGGCTATGCTCGGCGCTCGCAAGATTTCTGACTTTGCCGTAATATTTGGTTCCTGGTGTATGTACGCATGTGTGGCTATTCTCGTTCTCGGGAAATGCCCATCACAATACTACCCCATAGTATTGAGCCCATTCTTAATGGTCTAAACCTGCCCAAATTATAGACGCATGTCTAACGAAGCTTGACCGAAGGGTCTCCGACTGGAGAACAAGGTTAGCGCTGCATAGTAGCACCTACTACACTGGCAGTCGAGTACTGAATGTCATGAGCCCGAAATCCTGCCGGATAACGCGCATCAACTAAAGGATTAGAACATTGTAAAAAGTAATGGTTTTGGAATTGGCATATAGGAGGTCTAGGAAAGTGTCCTTGTCCTGTACCAGATGGCAGCCTGAGGCCCCTCAACCCGAGTCGTGGCCTGGCTCGGGGTCCGGGCACCACAACCATGAGGGACACGGAATCCACCCTCCACTGCCAGGAGGGCTGCTATCTGAGCCGCTACCACCACCGCTACTGCCAGGAGGGCTGCTGTCCGACTGCCTTTTGGTGAATGCGAAGGGCCGCGAGTTCTAACGCGAACGACAGTTGAGCCAACTTTAGAATAAACACGAAGAGAAGGAGACCGTGTCACATACAGCTGCAAAGGTGTGCTCGACGAGAAGACGGGCGAGACGAATGATCTCGTAGTCGAGCGCATCCTCAGGCTTGGCCGCGCTGACAGTGGAGTACGACGCGGGGGCGTTGACACTGATTTCCACTGCGTCCAAGGACGAGATGTGGTTGGGCGCAGGGAG